GCATCAAATAAAAGCAAAGATGAACTTTTTAGTTCAAAGATTCAGCAGCATGCTCTCTCACTTACTGTACATTGTGACTATAAGGAAAATATAGGTCAGTTCTAGTTCACACTGCTTTAATGCATTACCATGGGCTGGGTGGCTTAAACAAGAAACATACATACATACATTTATTTATTTATTTATTTATTTATTTAATAGCCTTATTTTCCAGAACTTTTTATTATGAGTTTTCAAATATACAGAAAGGTTTAAAAATAATAAAATGAACTGCGTACCCACCTAGATTTAAAAACCAACATTTTGCCATATATATATATTTTTTTTTACCAAACATTGGAAAGTAACTTACAGATATGACATTTCGTCTCTAAATACTTAAACATGCATCTCATAAAAATCATGACAATCTTTTACAGAACCACAATACAATTACATACCTTAAAATAGGACAGTAATTCCCTAATATCTGAAGACCTAGTCTATGTTTAGATTTTCTTTGTTGATCCAGTCAGTTTTCACACATAGTATTTGATTGTTATGTCTGTTTCATCTACCTAGAACAGTCCCCACTTTGGTTTTTCCTCTTTTTTTATTGCATTTTAGGCTTTGGGGTACATGTGAAGAATATGCAAGATTGTTGCATGGGTACACACATGGCAGCGTGATTTGCCCCCTTCCTCCCCTTCACCTATATCTGGCATTTCTCCCATGCTATCTCTCCCGAACTCCTCACCCCCCGCCCCTCCCCTATTTCCCCCCAACAGACCCCAGTGTGTGATAGTCCCCTCCCTGTGTCCATGTGTTCTGATTGTTCAACACCCACCTATGAGTGAGAGCATGCGGTGTTTGATTTTCTGTTCTTGTGTCAGTTTGCTGAGAATGATGGGTTCCAGGATCAAAATGTAAGAAACATTTATTTTCTTATAGTTTTGGAGGGTAAGAAATGAAAAGATCAAGTCTCTGGCTGATCTGATGTCTGGTGAGGGTCCATTCTTGGTTTGCAAACATAGCTGTCTTCTCCTTGTATTCTCAAGTGGCTGAGAAAAGAAAGCAAGCTCTTACACGAGTACTAATTTGTGAGGGCTCCACCCTCAGCACCTAATTACTTGCCAAAAGAAACCTTCTAATACCATCATATTAGAGGTTAGGATTTCAACCTACGAATTTTTTAAGGGACATAAATGTTTAGCCCATGACACATGCTAATATTTTTTAACAGTAAAAACAAGCTTAAAAATAATTATCTTCTAAAAATATTCTGACAGATGTGAAACCACATATTAACATATTTGGCACACATTTGACATATGTAGTCATAGAGTTGTATATTTGGCTACTTTCATAGAAATCTTCACATTAATAATTTTAATAGGTAAGGTAGCAATTATTTACTATATTAAAGTGTTTTTCTGCATTATTTCATTTAATCATAAAGAAAATCTTTGTTAAGTTTATTAAACCCATTTTATAGGTAACGCAACAAAAGCTTATAAAGCATAAGTAACTTGCACAAATACATAGAAGTTTGCAAGTGTTGGAGCCAGAATTCAGACCCAATTCAGTCTGAGTCCCATGCTTTTACTCAGACTTCTTATTTTATCTATTACAAATCAGAACCTTAGAAAAAATAAATTATTTCCTTGAGGACAAATGTTTAACCACTATTAGAGCACATCTTGGAACCCAACTATCCGGGCTCATATACAATGCTAAGTGTTGATATTTTTTGTTTAATTTATGTGTAAATATCCATGATGAATAGATCTTGATGACTAGAGAATTACATTCATTTCTGATGAAAAAACAAAGGGAAAATCATTAGCAAATAATATAATGGTCATAAAACTCTAAATTAATGAGGAAACATTATTTCACCATCAGAATATCTGCAAAATTTTTTAAAAAGCACATTTATAATATTTGTAAAATTAATTGAGTGAATCTGATTGTTTTATGTATAAAGAAAAAAATAATTTTCTAAAAAATGAAATAAGTTGAATTGGAGTTATAGAAACACAGGTGAAATACATTATCTAAAACTTAGTAGCAAATCCTAAGAAAAATTCTGAGGAAAAGGAAAACACATGAAAAATACTTAAATGTGACAAAATGATTTACGAGAAACCAATTAGAAATAGCTACTAAGTGGTAACATCTAGATTAGGACAAAAATGTCTGAAATCATCCACTGGTACCACCTGGGAGGTTTTAAATAATGCACGACAACTGTATAAAATAGTAGGGAGAAACACTGAAAAAGGAACCAAATATCTGTGTTTGCTTGTTATAATTATATATACAAACAAGAGTATTTATACAATTACTATCTAAAAGATTAATACAATTTAATAATTTGTGCTAATGTTTTAGTGTAAAATGTCAAATGTTAAGATAGAAATACAAAATTTAATAGCTTCTCTAGCTAAATAGTATACAGTTAGAAATGGAAATAATAATAAATATTTGAAAATAAGAGTATTCTTGGCACCCTTGTTGAATATCAATTGATCATATATACATGGATTTATTTCCATTTTTTACATTGTGTTCTATTACTGTATATGATTGTCTTTATGCGATACCATACATCTTTGATTACGAAGCTTTGTAAGGTATTTTGAAAGCAGGTGTTGTGATGACACCAACTTCATTCTTCTTTCTCCAGATTGATTTGGCTATTTGTAATCCCTTATGGTTCCATATGAAATGTAAACTTTTTTGTCTATTTCTGAAAAAAAAAGCAGGATTTTAATACAAGTTTTATTAAATCTGTAGATCTAGTTAGATAATAGGGACATTTTAACAATATTGTCTCCCAATCTGTGAACATAAGATGTCTTTTCATTTGTTTTGGTCTTCTTTAATTTCTTTAATTTTCTTTAATCTTTTTTTTGTAATTTTCAGTAAACAAGTGTTTTGCCTCATTAGCTAACTTTATTCTAAGTATTTTATTGTTTCTTAGGGCTGTTGTAAATGGGATGTCTTTACTAATTTAATCTCTACAAAAATAGCCTCGGGAAAATTGGATATCCACATTTAAAAATAAATTGGACCCATATCTTGAACCATACTTAATAATCAGCTAAAAAATTGATTAAAGACATAAATGTAAGAATTGCAACTGTAAAAATCTTAGAATAAATAGGGAAAAATATTTTCACATTTGTCTTGGTAATGACTTCATGGATGTGACACCAACATCACAAGCAACATAAACAAAAATAAACCAGTGGGGACTACATAAAACTAAATAATGTTTGCACAGCAAAGGAGCAAATTGCCAGTGCAAAGGCAACCTATGGGAGAAAATACTTGCAAACCTTTCATCTGATAAAGGGTTAATCTCCAAAATATATTAGAAATTCTTACAATTCAATAGCTAAAAATAATCACCCAATTTAAAAATAAGATAAAAACTCAAATATAAATTTCTCTTAAAAGGGGAGGTGGGGGCTAGGGAAGGGATAGCAGGGTGTGAGGGTAGTGGGGAGGGATAGCATTAGGAGAAATACCTGATATAGATGACGGGGTGATGGATGCAGCAAACCACGATGGCATGTGTATACCTATGAAACAAACCTGTATATTCTGCACATGTACCCCAGAACTTAAAGTATAATAAATAAATTTAAAAAAAAAAACATACAAATGGCCAGCATGTGTATTTTTGAAATGTCCAGTGCCACTAATCATCAGGAAAATGCAAATCAAAACCACAAGGAAATATTACCTCATATCTATTAGCATTCCTAATATTTAAAAAACACAAAAGAGAAGTTTTGACAAGGATATGGAGAAACTGGATTCTTTGCACCCTGTTGATAGGAGCACAAAATGGTGTAGCCACTATGGAAAACAATATGAAAGTCCCTTAAACAATTAAAAGTAGACCACATAAGCTAGCAAGCCCATTTCTGGGTATTTTCTGAAAGAATTTAAATTGGAATCTCAAAGAGATACTAGCAGTGCCATGTTCATTGCAGCATTATGCATAATAGCCAATATGTGGGAAATCTATTGACAGATAAATGGATTAAAAATATGTGCATAAAATGGAGTGCTATTCAGCCTTAAAAAGGAAATTCTGCAATGTATAATAGCATAGATGAGCCTTGAGGACATTATGCTACATGAAATAAGCCTGTTAAAGAATGCCAAAACCTGACCACTAATATGAAGTATCTAAAATGGCCAAATTTATAGAATTAAAAAGCAGAATGGTGGTTATGAAGGGTTATGGGATGGGAAATGAGAAACTCCTAATCCACGGGCATAAAGTTTCAGTTATACAAGGTGAATAAGTTCTATGGATCTGCTGTACAACATTCTACCTATAGCCAACAATATTGTATTGCACACTTAAAAATTTGTGTTGAGGGCATAATCTCGTGTTAAGTATTCTTACCATGATAATATAACATTTTAAAAAATAAATAGAAAAATGACAACCACAGAGAGCCAGAGTCTATATTAAAAAAGGTAAAAGTTGTATTAAAGAACATAAATAAATATAGAAATATAATTTATCATTTGATAAACAAAATGTCACTTTTTCTAAAATGCGCGTGGAATTTAATACAGCTTGTTCAGCATTTCCTATGTACTTCCAGCTAACTGGTTAGATAGGAAACAGGTAAGATGATTTATTTGCATTCATATGAAATAATGAATACCAACACTTTAGAAAAAATAATTAAAATATCAGCAACAAACATAATATTACTACAAAAAAACATAATTTGTCTAGAAGAGAGGATCAAATCAATCCATATAATCCATCGGATTTTCCTTGTGGACAAATGATCACTCTCAAATATCATTAGAGGGGTGTAAAGTGTTACATTTTTCCTAGAATAAGCTATAACAGTATTACTTTTTCTTTTAAAATGTAAACTCCTTAACTCAGCAATGTGATTTCAGGTTTCTATTCTGCAGGAAAATAATTATTGAAAAATGAGTATTTATTACATAACTTCTTGTTTGTTTGCTTTTTGAAGTGCTCTAGAACTAGAAAAAGCCTCAGTGAACATCAATTAAGAAAGTATTGACTAAGTAATGGAATGATTGCATTCTTGACTACTACCAAACTACCAGCAATGAGTTTGGTCTATTGCGACTACTTATCCTTATTTCCCCAGGGAAGTTCCAGTTTAAAATTGCCTTCCAAACACAACTTTCAATAGCAGTCTTTCTTGGTTTGGATAACAAAATATAGTTATCATTGTTAGATTTATCTCTGTTGTTACAAAGTTATTTTTCAAGTGTTTCAGTATGCATATAAAGTAGATGTAAACCAAAAATAAAAATCATATGTAAATATTTATATGACCATGCACAAAAGGGTGGAAACATACTCATCTGGTTGTCATTTTCGATTTTTCAGGATTTGGATTGGGGACCACATGTGCCTTTTGGGATTAAAAAAATAATCTATAAAGAATATTTAAAAGGCAAAATATATTGAATATCTGTCTTGGTTCTAAGCTTACTTGAGACCTTTCAAAGACCTTGTGCTTTTTTCTTTTTCTTTTTTTTTGGGGCGGGGGGAAGAAAGAAAAAGAA